TGCATGAAGTGAACCTTCATTCCCGAAGACCGCTACGGATACCACCTATAGCAATGCACAATCGTAGGATTCGATATCAATGGGCTCTTGAACACAGAAATTGGGCAGAAGAACAATGGCGTTTCGTGTGCTTTTCTGATGAGTCTCGTTTTGGTATGAGACCGGATACAAGACGTATACGACACTGGAGAACCCCTGGACGCCAACAGCGATTAAAATCCTGCCAGGAAGTCCATCCTTATAGTGGTGGAACCATCATGGTATGGGCGGGTATTTGGATCGGCGGAAGAACTGAGTTGATTTGGATCAGAGGCAACCTCAACGCTCAAATTTATGCTGAGACGATTGTATCAGACGTCATCGTTCCTCTACAAGTGCAAATCGGTCCCTTATTTCAGTTAATGCATGATAATGCACGACCGCACACCGCAAGAGTTGTAAGACAGACTCTCGCCGCAGCTAACATCAATGTCCTGCCCTGGCCTGCTCAGTCGCCAGACTTGAACCCGATTGAGCATGCATGGGATATGCTACAGAGAAGAGCTCTGCCGAATATGGAGGGTATCCAGTCGCAAGAAGACCTTTTTTTGTTGTTGCAACGAACATGGGCGGCCATTCCACAGCGTGATTTGGATGAACTCATTTTGAGTATGCCAAACCGATGTTCTTGTGTTGTTAGTGTTCGCGGTAGAAATACGGATTATTAATTGTTTAAGTTACCCAATAAAATTTTAGAGAAAACTGTTATTTCAGTCTTTTTTTCGAACTTTTGTGTTAGTGGTTCAAATGTCAAAAATCCCTTTGAAGCGGAGAGCTAGTGGAATGAAAAATGTAGGCTAGGATTTAGGACGCAATGGGTTTATTAACACGATTTTAAACACAAACAATATTTAAGCTGATGACAAGCAAAGACTATGACACACAATAACAATTTTGATAGCAAAAATCATAAAAATGTCAATACTTTAAAAACACTTCAAAAAACCATAAAAACTAAATCTATAAAAGAGGTCGGCAACACCCTTTATTAGGAAAATGGCAAATTTCTTTATTAATGCAAAGGTGACTTGGTTTATCGTTACTGTGACAAACGAAAACACTTTATTTGATGAATCCTTAAAAAAAATTTTAATTAATATCAATCAGGAGAAAAGTTTTTGCAAACATATATGTTGATCCCTAGACACTTTTGATGTGTGTAAATATGTATCAGTACTTATATGTATTCTGTCCGTTAACCTAGTATCCCATAATACAAGCTTACAATGCTTACTTTGGAACTAGGCTAATAGGTGTGAGTGTTGGAAATATTTATTTAATCTCGCTAAATTTAACAGCTCTGCTCTTGTCGGTGCAGTCTATGGATCCCCCGCCATCTCCCTCTGTCCTCCGCCAACACTTTGAGCCCCCTGTACGACTCGACGCCAACCTTTTCCTTAATTTGTTTAGTGTAGGCTATCCTGGGTCTTCTTCTTCCTCTCTTTTCTTCCACTTTTCCCTCAATGATGTTCTTTATGAATTCGTCGTGTCGCATAAGTTTATATTTATTTAAAAGATGTGGTAAATCAATGCCAAATCTCCCTATCTCGTAAGGCATGTGCCCTAGCAGGAAAGACTATGAAATGGCTGATGATGATGACGACTGCGTGAATTTTTACAGTAATCCAATATTTTACAATTGAATTCTAATTGTCTATTGAGTAGGTGTATGTGTGCAAAAGAGAGCGAATAATATACCAATCGTTATTCATTGGAAGCCACACGCAGCTAAAGAAGAACAATGACCATTAAAGGCACGTCCAGAACAGGACCGGACAGAAGCGTCCATCGGAACACGGCGCCGGATCCGGCGGCTATTTTTTACCGCCGCCAGATATTTATTTACGTCCAGTAGGGACACGCTATTCTCCATCAACCACGTACATTACTCGATTCATGTCACAGAAGCTTTAGCTTAAATTCGAAACAAGATGAAGGATCCATTCTTTTCTCCATTCAACTCTGCTTAGTTTTGTACCTCAAGTATTATCACGCATTTATGTGTCGAAAAATACTCCGAATTCATCAAAATGCTTATAAACAGAATTTATTATCCAGTTGTATTTGTACCATATACACATTACGTTAAATTATTTAAATTAATGGCAACACAGCACAGATAATATAATATATTATAGTAAATGTGCATCTCTACAGAAAACACATGATTTTTGATACAGTGAATTTCAAAGAACCAAATCAATAAAATGAATTGAAAGCAATAGAATAAGCCGTCATCAGTCATTCAAAGACCAATTGCATATAAATAATAATGTTTCTTTAAACGTAGATTCCCAATTTTGATTCTATTTTTCAGAATATTTTCATTGAATTTATTGAAGTTTTGGTGAGTCTTTTTAAGTATAATTATATGTTTTTTGGGATAATTCGTACCAAGGTGCAAATTTGGGCAAAAATCGAAGGTCTCCTTTGTTCCATGTTTGTGTTGTCCTCAATGTGAAGTTATTCTTTGAAGGTAAATGTAATTTTAGCAGTATTTCCTAAAATTTTAGGCTGCCCTTCCCTGAAGTGTAATAGCTAACCACTTGACATTGGCGTGATTGCGATAACACACTAAGCAAATCATTATAAGAAGAAGCAAATTAAAGATTTATGTAACAAACGCGATGATAAATATTTTTTCTATAGATAAATTAACAATGTTAAATTCTACTAGTAGACCGGGTAGTTCGCGAAAAGATTAAAGAATGGTGATGTTTCCGTAATTATTGATGTTTTCTCCCCAATATGGAATCAATATAAAAAAAAATATGTCAAGCAAAATAAATCTAAAAGTTAATTCCGAAAAGTTTAAAATATAGATAATTTATTTTTAGTTTAAGTATATCATGTAATATACATACTATTTAGAACTCTACATCACACAGAAATCGATGCTTTTTTTCTTATTTCATTGTAAATATTTCATAGTCGATAGTCGACGACAAGAACCAAGTAAAGGCTAAACACCACACCGCACCGCAAATCGGCAAAAAGCGGACATTTGAAGCCAGGTTCATTTTAATGTGTCTCCTAAAGAGCTAATGTAGGTACAGAATAAACTAAACCTTGCTGCATTCAAATAAGGAGCGAATTATATGTCAATAATTATTTTCGATTTCCATTTAAATTATATAACAATGTGTTGAACCACTCGATTTCAGGAGGTTAATTTTCAATACGATAATGGTTGGTGATAATATTGGTTATTTTTGGATGACTTTCAATTCTTATTAATTATTAATATGGGGTGTTGTAAATCCTCTTGTTTAATGGCTAATAAAAAGAAACGAATCAAAAAATCGAATGATGATAATAAATTATTATAAAGTTATTACTAGAATTTACGGTTTAAGAGCTTGTATGCAATATGAAAAGGTACTTAAATACGTCTAGTCAATAAACTCCTGTATCAATCCTTACGAGGTTTCTACAATACTCCAGAATTGTGTTATTTTTTATTTCTTTGATGTACAAACAGGTGACAAATATACAATATAGGAAACGTTATGTATTATAATATATTATTATTACCTACACAAAATGTATACGAGAACGTATTAGGAAAAAATCTCAATAATTGATAGTGCTTCGATCTATATCCTCATTTAAATAAGAAATAAAATACGTGTCATCAACTATATGTAGAATATAATAATGTGATAGCATAAATATTATAGATAGGTACATCAAAATTATTCTCTTCGATTGATTTCAACTCCAACATTATATTTAATAGCATTCACAACTACGATACAAAACACACAATAGGTACCTACAAGAGCCGTACATGTTTAATCTTCCAACCAATTACATCGGCTTTTGGTAAAAAATCAATGATCCAGCAAAAGTTATCCATCAAAATATTCTGTCCGTCGGGGAATTTCGTTGAAAGCTTTCACGAACTTTGGTAAGTTATTTTCGAAGTGCAACTCGCCTTTCTGTTGTTTGTATGAATTCGTCTGCGGTAATCTTGAGTAAGTAGTTTTTGCTGAATGTTTTTTAAAACCAATATTTGGCTGGGCTGGGGGACTATCTTGCATTTAATAGACTATTGGAGAAGTTTTTGAAAAAGTTCATACAGTATTTATTAATGCTTAAATTATTTATTATTAAAGTGCTTCCATAAAAAGTGAAAATTTATAATTCTGTTACTACTAATTTAGGTTGAAAACACAAGCAAAACGAAAATAAAAATTCTGTTTTCCTGTATGCCGCGGAAACATTTCTCAAGCAAATATGGCGTCTTACGGGCAAGTGACGTTACCGGGCTCTCATAACGTCAAACAGTACACAGCTTTGTCACTTCGACAGCATATTGACGCTTGTACTGCTGCTTAGCAGTGCTATTTTATAAAATTGAAATTCGTGAAAATTTTAAAGAATAGCACTGCAGGTGGCGTTATCGGTCACGTGACAGTAGATAGATCAAAAACAGTTTTCCATTCCATAATTCAACTACTCAGAATATTACTACATTTCTCAGAATAGTGAAATCGTTCTTTAGTTTCCTTCTGTCAAATAGCATATAGTGAAATCGTTCTTTAGTTTCCTTCTGTCAAATAGCCTATAGTGAAATCGTTCTTTAGATTCTTTCGGTAAAACAGAGGTATCAAAGACAAAACTGAGATTTTCTAGGACAATTCGTAATCGCATTTGTGGATGGTTATCGTATCACGCTCTTGTTTTCGGTCCCTTTGTTGATAATAATGTTATTTGCCTAACTTCGTGTTAGTTTGGTGTAGATAATAATAAAATTAATCTTCTTTAGAAAACCAGACTAAGTTCGCTTAGTTTAAGCTACATGTGTGTATGTCTTTTCATTGTCTTGTGGGATTATTTTAATTCATAAGTTGAATTAAATATTAAAACCTTAGTCAAATGCCAACTCCATAATCCCCTACCGTTGGTTAGATTAACATATAAAACAAAATTAAGTTAAAAATAACTTTAATTTACATGTAACATAATAATTTGTATTACGTCCGAGAAATATTGATGGAATAAGCCGCTGATATACTTATAACTACATATAACTGTATATTTTAACTAAAATAAATTTATTCTTAGGACATACCTATAAGACCTACATCAATAAATATATTCACAACCTTGAGGTAATACAAAACATAATTAATAAAAGAAAGAAAAAATGTCATTTTCTAAAGATTACTTCAATACTCACTTGTATAATTTAACTCCTATAATGTACACCATTATGTTACCAGCTGTTTTTATTAAACAAAACATAATATACGTTTTAACATAAATCATTTAAGTAGACATTTAACTACTATTGTACTTGTTCGCTACAAGAGAAAGAGAACAGAATTGGCTATGCATTTTTTCAAATTTAAACATTCATAACATACTTTTCTAATGCCTACAAGCAACATATTAACTACCTACAAAGTTATCATATTATTACACTTTTCTTACATAGATCATGAATTTTAAGATCAATTTAAAAAATTATAGGTCATTGGCTGTCAATAATTGATTTTATATACACATATGATTCACATAATTAAACTTTAGTATATGTTCAGTCAACGCCACAATAGTGGTATATAACTATTCAATTATGGAACAAACTTTATTTTATTGTATAAAATAACATTTTCTTCATTCATTCATTTGTAAATACAAATCGATGATATTCTTCAATAAATCGAGAGTTGATAATAGTTATTTCGGTTATTCCTAGATAGTTTTGGAAGTTTGCACTATTAGCTAATAAGATTCAACATTCACGTGTCTGAACACACCAAAACTATCTGTATTTAAAAAGAAATATACTTCACTTGATCAATATTTTGTTAAACAACAACCGTTGTGTTTCCACCTAATACTCCGAACAGTTCCGAGCGAACAAATTCTTGCTCGCTCGGTAAATGGAATGCTCAAGAACAATGTTGCGTTGTTCCCATTAATGACTGAGCTAGTGAGCATTCGTTCCTTTGGACCAGTCAAACATCTTTGTACGAACTCTTTGCTTGCTCTGTCGTTTGCATTTACCGAGTGAGCAAATGTTTGCTCGTTCAGAACCATTCTCAGCTTAAGTGGTAACGCTGGATAACACAATTATTTAGTTTACTATAACAAGTCTCTTGTCTATCTTTGGGGTGAGCGGAGTGACTTTTTTAATATAATCTTCGACAATTTTCGCGTCTTCGCCGATGTGAGTAAGATTGTGATGATTGTCTCTAAACATCTGAAAATAATAATATTCTTTTGAGAAAACGTAATAATATTCGGAATTCAAAGCATTTTTACATAAGTCCAACAAAAGATAATATACGGCTAGTGTACCCAATAATTTTCTAGTATTCTCAAAAACTTTTACTACGGTAACAGAAAATTAGTTCTACAAAAAAAAATCACAGTGCTTTGATCTGTAATTATATTCAAATGAAGTTTCATGCTTTAGCTGTCGATTTATTTTAAAATAAAATATAATAAAATTGTATTTTTTAAACAATTTTGTATGTTTTAAAAATACATACAAAATTGTTAATAGTTTAAAATTAATGTTGCTTTAATTAAAAAAAGTTGTTCTCCTGCCGCTTACGCAAGATTCTTTTATGATGATGATTATTTTATCGACTTTTAGTATCAGGGCAGCACAGTATTACGTAGGATATTTATATTTAGTCCCTTTTTCTTATATGTTACATAGTTTTTTTTTTCATATAAATAAAACAAATACATAACGCGTACAAATACATAATTTAATTTGGATCCCGGGTTCGAATCCCAATTGGGCATATGTTTTTATTATGAATCGAGCATTTGTATCTAAGTCATGGCTAATTATAGTAGGTATATATAGATGAATGTTTTTTATAATATGTAGATATTCTTTCTGCTACCCTAGTATCCCATAACACAAGCCTTACAGTGCTTACTTTGGAGCTAGGCTAGTTGGTGTGAGTGTTGAAATATATATTTATTTATTCAAATCTCACCGTGAACCCGTTCCCACCCCTCGTTAGGAAAAGCAGTGTGACTACTTGATATTTCCTTTTGGGATCTATTGGTTTGAACTCATCACCCTCCTTCACCATTGCTGACACAACTATTCTGTCAGTCGTGTTCAATGTCACCTGCATACCTGAAACAGAATGAGAGTAATTTAACAATTTCATAAACGTTGCTATGATGACGTCGATGGCGGAAGTTAAACAATTTTCTCATTGGTCGATAATAGAAAAGCCGGTTGTATCATAACGCATGAGCCGCAAACCACGACGGATGTTAATTAAGCCATATAGGTACGACAATGCATTGGCATCCGCGTAACCGTGAGGAACCGGGGACCACTGGTTCAGACTGTAGAGAGAACGCGCATGACAAAGTTCACAGAGTTTTGTGATCTAAACTTTATTTTAGAGATTGTTTGATTTCGTGGTGAGCGGAAAAATGGACAAACCGCCCGCACGGGGTCCGCAAGAGAATTCGCGCTTTCCCGCGGCACCGCTCCTCCGATATCCCCCGCTGTTCTCAACTCTAGACTCTTAATATCACTTAGGTGAACAACGCACGAGGAGCGAACCGCTGCAAATGGCAGATGCGTGGATGTTAATGTAATAGCACGTTGTGGCGCTAGCGGCCCTTCTCACCTGCCACCTGAGGCATCCAAGGGCCGTTGAAGGGTTTCTCTCTCCAGTAAGATGTCATGCACCTATGAAGAGCCTCCAGCAAATGTCGGCCTTCAATCTGCACAGTCACCACTTTATTTGTGAACGGCAACACATTTATGACAGCCCCTCTGTTTATTTCTGAAATTATTTTTATTGTTTATTTTAATGTTATTTTAAGCATTAAACTGACTGATCCTGTATGATGCCTAACCGATTTTCTAGTAATATTTTCTTTAAATTCGAATTTTTGCTGCTTTTTGCCCACATTCTGTATCACCCAATTGCAAATAGCAAGGCACTAAATCATCACCTGTGGTGGGTGCTTTTAAAGTTGACTTTTCGTCGTTGGTCAAACCATCTCTAATTTACATAGCTACAAATTACACAACTCTCATCTTATGTCTGTTTTATTATGTATAATAAAAAAATGATTGGTGAAACTTTTTTATCTATTTCATCTAGGTTCACCTTTCCCCCGTGTTCCACAGAAAAGAGGAATGAGCGGAAAGGAGAGCTCTCTCTATTTCAATGCAAGCACTTAGAATAACAACATTATTGTTTTGAATTAACAAGGAGACCATAACGGGTTCTCTTCGAACAATTACTCTAAAGCTGACATAAGCAATAGGCATGTATAGCAGCAAACTTCTTGAACAAAACCACAGACAAATAAATTTACCCATTAGACGTTTTTCTATGTAAAACTGTTACTGCATAGGCTTCTTTGTCTATGGCCGATGCTCAAGAAGTTTGCCGGGGCATAAACTACTTTATTATTTTCAATGATGAAATTATACTTAGGTGTGTTACAATTTACCCAAGTGAGTTCTTATATGAAAATAGAATATCTCCTAAAATCTTAAAATTAAATGGCAATGGCAAACTTAAAAATAAATGAATAATAACAAAAAAAAACTTTATTACCGCCTCCCGCTATTGATCCACGAATCATGTTTCTTAATATAAACGTAACATGAGGAATGTCGGATACATTTCTTTCTTGAACCTGTAATGTAAATTTCTTGTAGTCGCTAAAGTGGTTCATAAAATAATAACTCATACTTTATGCAATAAAACTCAATGATATCAAATAGCAAAAAGTAATAAAATTTGACATTTTCTTTTCTAGGAATTTCGTGTTCTCGGTGTCTTTTTGAATCTCCGATCCTTTTTAGAGGTTGAAAAGTAGGCATTCTATTAGGCTAGAGGTCAATTTCAAAACATAGTTTGCACAAAATAGTGTCTGAAACCGGCCACATAAATAATTAAAATAAAAAATGGAACGCTTCGGCTTTAATTGTAGCATCCTTTAAAATTTTTGTACTATGTATGACCCATTCACTACGATTTTGACAATGAAGCACCTTATTAGTTGTCTCTGTATAGCTGGTTATCAATCTTTGCTAGTTATCATTATTCTTATGCGGTTTAAATCAATTACAGATATGAACATGGAGGTAAGAGAAAAAGAGAACGATCGCTACGTACTTAAAGCATTAGCCCTCCTGCCCTGAAAATTTGTAGAATGTATAGTTCATTTTTCAGCCACTAGCCGCGCTGCCGTCGGTAAGTAGTATCTGTGAAGTTAGCTGTTTATGAGTACAAGTAGATGAAGTTAATTGAATATTGTACAAATTTTCTTCGCGGCATTGTGGCATTGGTCATTTCAAATTAGCCCGCTTTTATTGAGACAACTTAGCGATCGCAACGCCATTTTGTCCATATTTCTGGGACACTATTTTCTACAGCGATCGTCCTCCTTATCTCTAAGCTCCATGGCTATGAATTTCGTGATGGTCAGCCAGCCTACTGACAATGAGAACATCGATGCTGAACGCCGTATTATTGGAATGAAAGGCATGTGACTGTATTGTGTGTTAATTTGTATAAAAATTACATTGAAGACAAGGTAGAATATTTTGAAATTGAATGAATTCATTTTGACCCGTTGATAGTATGTTTTTCTTATTAATTCCGATTTTTTTATGCGTCTTAAGTATCAATTTCTTTTGTCTATCCACAATTAGTTTTTGAACTGCTTTTTTTTCAACATAACCAATGGTGGTTACTGGATTGTTAAAAGTACTGACCGTCGTCAAGTATGCATCAGCAATAATGTCACCTATGGCACATTCTTTAGAACCACAAGGCTCCGAAATGAGATCATCGTGTGCGAACCCTACCACTTCATTCACTAATGAATATAACTCGTCTTTGTAGGGTTGCATTGCTTCCTTGATTTTTGGATCTGAAAAAATAAGATGTTCATGTTGACCACAAAATATGCGATTGTTTGACAATTCTTCCTTACGCCACGCCTGCAATTTGACAGATTTTATATATATATATATATATATATATATATATATATATAATGTATATAGCAAATAATATTTGACCGTGTCTAATTTTTAAAATAGTTTAATTCATAAAATTTTTGGTATGAGGAACCTATATATATCGATTTCACTTCATAAAATTAGAAGATGGCTGTATTAAATTAATTTGAAAAATGGTTTTTTAGTCTATGCTTTGTAAACACTCGAAACGCTGTCCACCATGATTGTGACGTCAACAAATTAGTAAATGTGTTAGTAAACAACAAACGTCAGTGTCGTGTTACTGTGGTGTCTTTCGTCGGACTAAAATATATCTAAAAACTTTTACATCTTGTAGAAAAATTTCCGTTTATTGATTTTGTTAACAAAATTAATGCTGGACGCCGGATTTGTGAAAGCAGAAAAGACAAAACTCTTTGACTTAGTAGGTACATTCATAACCTTAAAAATTGTATTTTAAAACTTTAGATGTTATTCAATGAGTACTCTCATTAAAGTGATCTTTGCTAAAAGAAAAGACTGTGGCAACTGCAACTTCTACTACCAAGCTGCACCTAAGATACTCTGCCGTATATGGTGTAGTGAAGACATAATAATATTTGTAAACACATTTCTAGTTAACTTACCCTCTGGTATAGATCTGTTCAAAAATACTGGTGTTCCTTCATACGATTGCAATTCTCCGTCTTTGCTGAAATAGACTGTGATGTTTCCTAAATATTTAGTAAAAGCCGACGCTGTTACAACCAGCACCTGTGAACAGCATAATTCATGATAGTAACCATGTAAGAAAATGGTCGAAGGATAAAAAGAAAGATTTAATTAACTCTTCACTGTTAACTGGTAGAATCTGTAAAAACAATGCAGCAATCATTGAAATAAAATAATAAACCAAATGCACTCGGCGAAATGTTCACGGCGTGGCCCGGGTCGGGTAGGCAGAGAGATTTTAATCTAAATTCACATAAATCGATATTTACTAGCGAAAATCTCTTTTTTCCTAATATCGTCATCACATTTCTCAACACGCTTGTTGTTTTAAAGAATGAATAAATTCTCAGTTTTCAGACGAAATCTCAATTTGTCACGTGACGGTTACATCTGGGCCCATTATTTTCCATCTCCCTCAAACTTTTGACGTCTTTAATGTTCTGGTCTCCTTAAATAGTTTACTTTGTAAGTAATATTAAAGTTTCGCTTTAATAAGACTTGGCTCCGAGATGATTGAAAATTCATTTAGCTTTCTAAAATTTCGTACTTTCACATACGATGTCATCATAAGAAGACTTAAATAGTTCTTAGACTTCAATAAAGGCTTTCCTAAATCCCCAATACTAATACTGTATTCTCTATACTCCATATTAGCGAAAGTATATCGGTCTGTCTTTCTGTGTAAAGGTAATCATAAAATAGTTGTTATGATTATATTACACTAGTTTTTTCATACAAATTTTCATACAGCTACTCGCGACTTCTTCCGCATAAACTTTAGTTTTTTTTAATCCCTCAGAAACTTTTTTTTGTCCAGAAAATGCTTTACACATCCTTCAACCACCGCCGGAGCGAGATAAAGGTATCTGGAACTCCTTCCTGCTCCTTTCAGCCAGCCCTTGGGCCGGATGAAATAAGCAGGGCCCTACCTAATGCCCTGAACAGGGCCGGTAAAGACCAGACAATACTTCTGCACCGGTCACTCGACACGCATTGTGAGGACCGAGGTCCTCCCGATGCGTACCGGGAGTGGGGGTGTGGTCGCGGCAACCGTTTTAGACTGGTCGCGCACCCGCAAATCCCCTAAGAACCTAACATTTTTCCGAGATAAGAACTATCCTATGGCTCAATGTAACAAACGCTATAATTACATAAAATTAAATTTTACAGGAGCTGTATAAAACTGAATGACATACCTACAGTGAAGTTTTGGCATGGTTTTAATTAATAAATTTAGTAAAACACTGTTTTAGGTGGTTTTGATTGAAAATTATTTGAGATTCAAATTCAACGTGCCTGAAGTCTCCGAACTAAAAAGGAAATAGTTTGACCAGATGCATAATTATGCCATTTTGTTCGCCAGCTTCTCAACTGTAATTATGTGTGCCAAATTTTTGCCGCAGTTTTTTGCGTAATTGAGTACCAAACATACAAACTTCCACATTTATATCATTAATAAGATGAGATATACATCAATGACAATACATTTTATATGTATGAAAATATGTCTAACAGTCCGAAGACAGAGGTTTAGTAATAGGCTTCCGTAATGACTCTTTGGGTACGGTACCCTAATAAGAAACATATTTAGAGATTAAACGAACTTACCTGAAGTGAAGTTCTATCCTAATTATACGAAGGCTTCGTCCGAAGAGATTAGCTTGAATAACACATGTAGTACGCGTAGCACGCGCCATTTCACACTATATTGAGAATATATAAACTAAAAAGAATAAAATTATTAGTTTTTTTTCTTTTAAATTTGGAATATGTGTAAGCCCTGGCGCCCGTCATAGCTGTCATTTAGTTAAGAGTATTAATTATACATATTTTTCGAATAACATATGGGAATAATAATTACTTTTGGGAGGGGGGGAAGCTAATCTCTTCGGACGAAGCCTTCGTATAATTAGGATAGAACTTCACTTCAGGTAAGTTCGTTTAATCTCTAATTATACTTCATGCTTCGTCCTCGAGATTAGCTTGAATAACACATGTAGACATTTAGAGACTATTCGAAAAATATTAATAATTGTAATAGGTAACTGGATAATAAATAAAGTAAATATAACATAAGTTGCTTCTTTATTTTTGTAACATCGAAACAAAAGGTAACCAAAACAAAAAAACCAAAGAACAATATTATTTGTGACATAAAAACTTATGAAATAAACGAAAAAATAATCTGATTAAGCACTCAAAACAGTGATTCCAAATTCTTTATCACAATTGTTGTTTATTGGCCTGTTATAAAATTTGGCAAACGTATGTGATTCCGAACTCCAACCTGCAGTTTTCATAATCTGATCTACGCTAACACCTAAATTTTGCGCAGCTGACGTAGCAGCATGTCGGGTACTATGCGCAGTAAACATTGAAATATCAATTCCGCTTAAATGTAACGTATTCTTTATCCATCTGGATAAGGTTTGAGAAGTAACAGACTTATATGGCTTTCGGTAACTTATAAATAATTTGTCTGAATCAGCACGAAGAGACATAGTCATTTCAAGGTAAGTAATCAAAACTCTTGCAGGACAAATACTTGGCTTTTCGTTATAGAAAGGTAAAACGAGCAATGGTTGAGCTGTTCCAACTCTAGATGTCTTTATGAGATCCGGAATTTTGATTTTAATTACTGAAGAAGACCTATCAATATTACAAATTTTAATTTTGGAAAGGGTTTGTACCCTATTTGCTGTGGCAATGGCTAATATTGTAATCAATTTTTTTGATATTATTTCCAGGTTCAAACTTTCATTGGGAAACCATTTTTCAAGACAACTTAAAACCTGAGCTATATTCCAGACTTCATTATATTTAGGAGGTGGAGGTCTAGTACGAAAAACTCCTTTTATAAACCTTTTTATTTCTTGGTTTTGTGAGATACTATTTTTAGTGATCAACGCCAAAGCGGAGCGATAACAGTTAATTGTACCATACTGAGCACCACTGTTAAAAATTGATGTTAAAAAATTTAATATGTCGGGAATTGATACTTCGTATAAGTTTAACTTATTCTGTTGACAATAAATAAACCACTTTTTATAGCAACCTTCGTACTGTTTATACGAGTTATCCGAAAGGGAGTTAAGCATGATGTCCACAGTAGATTCTGGGACGCCTCTTCGTATCATCGCCTCCCGGATAAGACCCCTGCCACCAGGGTAATGGAGTTGCGCATTTGTTCGCGGCTGGAATTTGTAGATAAAATAAGATTTGAATTTGCTTTGAAAACTAATTGTTCACTTATTAAAAGACTCTTAAAAAGTGGATACCACGGTTGTGTAGGCCAAAATGGAACAACTATAATACCTGTGGCATTGTCTGAGATAATTTTTCTTAAAGATTTCAGAATCATTGTAAAAGGAGGAAAAGCATAAAAATTTAATTTTGACCACGACACTGTAAAAGCATTTACGGCGTATGCATCCGGATCCCTTTGCCATGATATATATCTTGGACATTTATTATTTAAGCGACTAGCGAATATGTCAATGTCAGGCTTATGAAATTTTTCAATGATTTGTTGAAAGGCATAATCCGCTAGTTGCCATTCAATATCCGGATGTATTCGCCTCGATTCTTGATCTGCATGGTAATTATCTGAAGATCGAATATAAGATGCAAAGACGTAAAGATTTTAACGTTCACACCATTGCCAGAGTTCTTTTGTGATCTCTGTCAAGTGTGGGAACTGAATACCACCCATACGGTTTATGTAGGAAATTGCCGTGGTATTGTCGATTCGGAGAAGTATTTGGCAGTTAGACATATTTTTGGAAAATATCTTTAAACCAATAAATGCAGCAAGAATTTCTAAATAATTTATATGCCTGCTACTTTCATTTGTACTCCATAAACCACTTGCTCTGTCGTCTCCACATGCAATTCCTCACCCCGTATTTGAGGCATCCGAAAAAATTTCTAGGTTATACTTGTCAATTTTTATCTTAGAAGCAGGGCTTTTATCCATGGTGCGGCTCCACCAATAAAAATTCTGTTTCAAATAACAAGGTAAATCCATATTTTTGTCGTAATTATTACTGATATTTAGATTAAGATATTTACATCTTTCAAATAATTTGGTATATAACCAACCGTATTCTACGGCTGGGCAAGCGGATATTAAAAGTCCAACAAAACTAGCAAATTCTCTGATTCTACACCTTTTTAAGTTAGAAAACTTGTGTATTGCAGATTTAATTTTTTGCATTTTTCCTTCTGGCAAAGTGACCTGAAATTTCTTTGAGTCTAAAATGTATCCTAAAAACTTACAAGACTGAGAAGGTATAAAATTACTTTTATCGGTATTTATAATGAAACCCAAGCTTGCAAGCAACTTTACGGTATCTTGTAAGTTTTTAAGACATGACTCCTCATCTAACCCTATTAAACAGAAGTCATCTAAATATATTGTGGACAGGTAACCACATGATCTTAGCAATTTTATGACCGGTTTCATGACTTTAGTGAAAACAAAAGGTGCTGTATTTAAGCCAAATGGTAAGACATTAAATTCATATGTTTTGTGATCAAATTGGAATCTAAGATATTTTCTATCTTCCTCATGAATTTTTAACAAAAAATATGCGTCTTTCAGATCAACTGTGCACATGTAATAATCTCTCGATATTAATTTTATAACCTTTCTTAAATCCTCCAGTTTAAAATGATTTGTGTCAATAAATTTATTAAGTGACTTTAAGTTTAATATGAAGCGCATTTTACCATTTGGCTTAGGTATTAAAAATATTGTTGATATATATTGATCAGATCTGTTATCACACTCTGAAATTGCTCCTAAAGACAGCAAGCTTTCAATTTCGTGGATGAAAAGAGCCCTTTCCTTTTCAGTACATTTTCGAATTGATGGTGATACAGGTTGCATTGGTTTTCGACTGAAGGGAATCCTATATCCTTTTATATAAGAAAGGACCAGTGGGTCCTTGGTAATCATTGACCATTCTTTATAGAATAATGATAAACGACCTGCATGCATTACCGTATTTAACGACGATTGTTGTTCTGTCTCTGCTGCGGATATTGCGACTGCTTCGATGAGTTGATGGGCCGTCTGCGCATCAGAGTCGTTACAGGCTCCTTTGTCCTCGGAGGGCCCGTCGGCCTGCGACTCGGACCCGGACCCTTCCAGTTTAAATTCCGTGAAGAACTGGCTGGATTTGAGCTTAGATTCTTTTTAGGAAACTTTGGTGTCGCTGATTGCTTAAGATCAGTGCCAGACTTGTTAATAGCTTTAGCTGATTTTATAGTTTCCGTTAAGTTTTCACCGAATAATTGTTTATCAATCTTAGTATTTTGAAGAGACTCCCTTAGATCCCTCTTCACGGCATTTAGAAGAAAATTTCTTCGTGTTATTGTATCAGAATGTTGACAATCACATATAATTTTTGCCAAATCCATGAGTGTTTTTAGCAAGGCAGTATCTTTCTCTTTTGCAGACAGTATAGCTGTAATAGCTTCTCCCAGACATGTGATTCCAGCAGTCAATTCCTTCTGTTTCGATTGAATGGCCTTATCGCGTTTTATGATAATATCTGAAACAGCTGCTTTAATCTCAGGATTGAGCTCAGCTGGGTCAATCAATTTGCAATTTTCTGGGGTCATATACTTATCTACAAGTTCTTTACGCAATTCTTTACTAATACCTGTTGTGACCCAGTATTGGAATCTCGTTGAACCATTGCTATCTATCTCTTTGCCATACCTTTTCTCTGTAGTAGGGTCAGTGCCTAATATTTCTAATATTTCACTTTCTAATTGTATGTTTTCTGTTTCAGGAGCAGACATTTGATCTGAAGGTAGAGTACGCTTCGGAGCCTCAGTCGACGAATGACCATCATGGGATGTACTTTGCATTGCTTCCAAATGTGACCCCAGCACTTGTTCTGATTGTCCTTCAGGTTGACCCTCGGAACATGGTGCATCTATAACCTCTTGGTCGTCTGTAAAGGACATAATATTTATGTTCACACCATTTTGCATGTCAGTATTATATTGTAAGAGACAGTCCCCAGTTGTAATAACACGTACTGTCCGCAAACAACACTTTGTAGTACCTTATAACAGTCCCGCTGTACTGTTTGTAGGACCCAGTGACTGCAGTGTATATAATGATTGCCATCATTATTTAAGGTTATGTATTATTTAACCTCAATTTATACGATTTAATTTTCGTAAGAGACAGTCCCAGTTCAAAGGAAAAGTACTGTCCGCAAACTATTGAAAATCGCGTACTATTAGGTAACAGCTTTTCTTCCAGTAATGTTTTATCGTACTTCTGAAGATCATTTTCAGTAAGAAACAGTCCCAATTCAAAGAGAGTAATGCTTAAAAATTAATCATTAATGTCCTTTACCAAGAAATATTTATTTAATGAACTGAGAAAAAAAAAATGTAAACTTAGTTTGCATTCTTAATGTATGTATGTACATACCTTTAGATATCGGTGACGAACGATATGAAAATTCCGATAGCTCAGAACAAGATGAATTGTATCGACTGCGGTGGTGCTTCTTTTTACGTTCCAATTTTCTCTCCAATCTTCTAATCTTACGTTTAATGTGTTCACAATTATCTTTCTTACGTTTGGGCATCCTAAATAACCACTTTTAACAGAATTGAAATAAAACTAGATGTGAAACGGCGACACACTAAAAAGCGAATGACAGCTATGACGGGCGCCAGGGCTTACACATATTCCAAATTTAAAAGAAAAAAAACTAATAATTTTATTCTTTTTAGTTTATATATTCTCAATATAGTGTGAAATGGCGCGTGCTACGCGTACTACATGTGTTATTCAAGCTAATCTCGAGGACGAAGCATGAAGTATAATAGTTTCTAAATGTTATTCAATAACTCTTAAGGCAACAGGTTCCGCTGATTCGTTTCCCATTTTACTTATCATCAGTCTTCAATTACACAACGGATGTGTTAATTTTATGTCATCGTGAATGCATTGATTGAAATGCCACAATAAAAAACATAAAGGTCAATTATCGTCACCTTCACTTAAAATGCTATCTTATTTATATAAAACTTGAGAATCATTTATCATGTAATTCTTTGTTTTTGAGGATTTACCAAGACCAGACAACGTAAATGTGTGCCTGGCTTTGTTTTATTAAAATCCATTGCGTTGTTTTTCCAAATTTTACTAGTACCTAATGCTTTGCTCACACCTGCACGACGAAGCTGTGATACTAAAATGCGCTGAAATTAGCGTTCGAATTTGAATTAATTCCATCGTAAGTACGCTTCTCAAGCTGCACATACAAATTGATCGTTCCCCACAATCACTTTAATGCGTGTCCAAAATCGCCAGTCAAGCTATAGTCTAGTATCTATAAACACGCAACCCGATAATTCATTACGATCGAACTAAATTTAAATTCCAAACGTTAATTTTAGTACTAAACACCCGTTGCCGAGGAGGCCGAAAGCCTCCTTGCTTGTTTAAACTCTTTGCTTATATGCCTACGGCAGTTATATTAAAAAGTAAATGTCATTATTTAAGAGCCCTTTCACATTTTTTACAAAAAATCATAATTTTTGAGCGCCTTGTTTGCCCTTAGAAAAGATGTTGACTATTTCCAATAGAAGTAAACAGTAGACTTATTCTTCCTTTTGTAAGTTAATGTAGAATATTTACAAATACTATTTTCCTTTTTTGTACTGATCGTTCTACCGCAGCTAGTTTAGGGAAAAAACAATAATATGCACAACTTTAAAGGCCTCAATCTCTCAATAATGTTCAATAAATTAGGTCAAATTAATTACTACGACAACAGAAATATGTTTTTCTTGTAACATATTGCATGAGAATCTTGATTTTTTATCTCATTAATTATTGAAAAAACATCTAACCTCCGTGAGTTTTCCCAAAAAATAATGCAGGTTTACCTCGTATTTTGATATTGAATTAAATAGAATTACTATCATAAACTTTCATAAAACTAATCTAAAATCATTGAACTACTGAAATATGTATATATTTTTATAGACATGCCAAATTTCCAAAAAAAAATAACAAGATTTTACAGAAGAATGCGTTTTTATTTCTTTTTAATAGAAACTACTTAATAACAACGCGTGCGTTCGATTCAGTCAGTCAACGTTCATGGCGCGATTAGAGGGGGGGGCCTTTCGCCTAATGGAAATGCTTTGGAAAACGCTAACGCTTTCCATTTTATTTTGTTATTTCTGACCGCCGAAGGTTTTCAAATACCTCACGCTAATTAATTATTTTTAATATTATTATTACCAATGTAAAAGAAAAAAAAAGAGCGCGAGGCATTTGAAAACCTTAGGCGGTTAGAAATGTCAAAATGAAATCGTAATCGTTAGCGTTTTCCAAAGCATTTCCGTTAGGCGAATGGGCCCCTGGTCGCTAGCCCGATTACGAGTGCCAATGAAATTCGGGTAAACGACTAACTGTAAATGAACGAGGTCAAGTACGCCCGCATTCGGGTGGTTTTCGTTTTGGTTACCACGTTTTGATTGGCATCGTCTTCCAGTGTGAATATTGCTTCGTGCACTCGGCTAACGACCAAGAGTAATTGAGCCATAATTCTCTCTTAATCAAACAACATTTGTTACATTTAAATAATAATTGCTTTCTTGATTCCGTACCTTATGGTTATGTTTTTATTTTTTTATGCATTTAACTGCTAGATGTTTAAATCTAAAGAAAAGTTTACTAGAAAAAAATCTACACAGACCAGGCAGCAGACAGAACTCGAACCCGCACCCTTCGCTATCCGGGCGAATGCACTGACCATTATGCTACCACGGCCCTGACGGTCGTGTCGAATTTTCTCTAGCCATAGGCTGCAAGGCACGTACCTTATGTCCTGGTCTCTCCTTGGCCTCGACCATAACGGGATACGGTCCCGAAATAGACTCGTTGCTGGGGGATTCACCGTTCCACAACAAACTGTGCGAATGACCACCGACGATAATGTCCACGTTTTCCCCGACGTCTTTCGCCATTTTTCTGTAATTAGAACGTGAATCTGTGTTGAATTTAATACTGTTTAATTAATCCCTTTTACTTTAAAGGTAATGAGTTTGTTTAGTGTCCCCAAAATGAGGTGGAAGTGGAACTAACTAAAGAAATGATTTATTGCTTCCACATAAAATACTTATGTTTACATAAAAACAAAACGATAGCGCGATTCAATAGATTATTCCTGTCATTAGTATACAAAACGTTAATCTGATTCTTAACAGAGTTAATATTCTAAATAAGGTACTAAACTCATAGCTTCATGCTATTTATCTCTGTTGGAGTATCAAATGGTATTCTTTTATGTAAAAATTGTGGCAAACGAGCATATGATATTATTATTATGACCGAAAAGAAAAATTAAACGCTGCCTACTCTAACGCCATCCACTATCTATCTCGTGTAACCTTAGGGCGCTTGTTAACGAGACGTTTTTTCGTCGGGTCTAGGGACGGTTTGAAACGTCTCTACGTCTGGGGGCCAATCGGCCTAACGGTAGTGCTATGGCTATCGCTATCGCTTACGATTTCTTTTCTATTTTTCTGACAGCCGAAGTTTTTGAAATGCTTTTGCACTGGTAATAACAATATTAAATTAAATTAGCGTGAAATATTTGCAAAACCTTCAGCGGTCAGAAATAACGAAATAAAATCGTTAGCGATAATGCGATAATGATAGCCATAGCTCTCCCGTTAGGCAATTGACCCCCTGGTCGTCAGATAGATATAGAAAAAAAAACAGGTTTGTTAACGACACTGGCGCTAGCGATGGTTTGGGGTCGAAACCGTGCATGTGAACAAGCTTCGGCACCAGCCTAGGTAGAAATCAGGGTACAAATCATCAGGTTTACAAACGCCCTTAGGGTTCTCAATGACTCCAAATAGAGGGTCTAATTCTAGCATAATTCGTTAAACTTCAAACTATATTAAATAAAACTAGTTTTGACGGGTTAGATGTACTGAATTTATTTATTTATTGACGTTTCGTGTCGACGCTTATTTAATTTGTCGAGCTACCTTCGAAAGACTTTTATATAGCGTTCGGATATTTCATTGAAATTGAAGAAACTTATGAAACAAATAGAAACTATATTAGATAGTCTGTCTTGTATATAATAGTGTACATAGAGCATGACGGACGGAGATTTACTGCTGGCAAATTAGGTTCAATGAATTATGTCACAATTGGGTCCATTATTAACTTTAACTTTACTTAGATTCTTTGATTATTTATACGCATAAGAAAGAGCAATCCAAATTAACCACCCAAAGAAAACGGCTCATGTTTCGCGCAATATGTGCGTGACTCTAATAAAAGATTTTACTAAAGCAGTAAACGTGTGCGTGTTTAGCGACGAGCGTTTCTACCATTATGTAGTAGGTACATAATTTTTGCGCCGCTTCTGTGCAGTTAATACGGTACCTTGGGAGTTTATAATTATAATCGAAGCTTAGATGAAAGCGATTTGTGTTTTTATGAAATCAGTTTTTATTTTTGTTTTTTGTATTCTGAGAAACTGCATTCTCCGATTCGAGCGGCAGGTCTTCCATAGTTAATCTTCCTATAGTATTTCCCCATAGGGCCATCATAATGCTCTGACTTTACAAAACTACAGAAAAAATATATTTGTAGGTATTTAGTATTAGTTGTGGGGTAAACTATAATATAATATGTGAAACAATAGTGGCACTAGCAGGCCAACTCCGCAAATGTTATCCTTTTGTATGTTTAAGGAAAGTGCAGTGCAGACACGTAAAGCAGTGTGGAGGCAAAGGAAAAAATCGTGTATATATATTCGTGTAATATATTCAATTTAAACAACTCAAGGTGTGGAGATATATATATATATATATATATATATATATATATATATATATATATGTATATTTATATTTATATATATATATATACATATAATATTTGTCGCTTAACATTAAACAATTGGTAAAATATAAATATATGAAACCCTTAGTTTACAACTTTAGACTTTTTTAAATTAACCTCAAAGTGAGCAAGGTACTTAAAAGCATGGTAATATTAAACATTTTTTTTTTTTCAAATTTTCCATCGGAATATTTAATTTATACGGCCATAATTGGCCATGCTGGATAAAGACAATATAGTTTTACAAAAAAACAAGGTTTCTTTGGAAGACATGGAATGTGGCAAAATTCTCGGTCTCACCCAGATTTTGACGGCAATACTAATAATGCACGCACTGTAAGTTCAAAATAGGTAGTGCAGAAGGTAATCTCCTGTATGTACTCGTACTACACATTTCATATCTCTACGCTCGGCGATCGCGCTATGATTATCAACTTTGGCTTGTGCACAAAAATATCATGGTAGTAGCACTCGTACGGATACATGATATTTATAATCTTTATAAATTTTATCTAACAACTAGACATAGTTGTTAGATTTATTGTTGAGAATGAAACAGGAAAAATGGAAGTATAAGTCTACAATACGAAAATGCGCGCACTTGCGTTGACCTGCGTGCTCTCTCAGTTAGTCGGAGAATAATTCGACCAATTTACCTCAATTATATATATATTCCTTATTTTATTCAGAAGAACAACTTTATTACACAGTGAAATACTTGACAGGATTATTTAAACCTTTTTTTATTTTTTTATTCGGTAATAGGTAAGCGCTTGACCATAAGTCACCTGATGGAAAGCAATATTATGGTCTACGATGGAGCGCGCTTACCTAATAAAAACCGGTTCACTCTTGCTTTGAAGACCGCTAGATTGTAGTGCTCGGGGAACAAGGGCTCAGGCAAGGAATTCCACAGTTTATTATTATATTCCACAGTTTTCCTAAACTATTTTTTCTGCATAATATCTATATTCTTAGTTTTCCCTCTAAAATATGTTTTTATTTAGAGGCATTTATTCTCGTAATTTGCGAAACTCTCATCATACCATAACGAAAATTTACATAACTAAAACTAATTAAGCGAGATTGAGAAGAGCGAGCTATTTCCACGAAAACCATTTCAAACATCGATTTTGCTTGTCATATTTAGTTTTAAGTTTAGAGAATCATGCCTCACTACTTAGCTTAATATAGAAGATTTTGAAGAATATATTTTTAAATTTATATCTGTATAGAAACAAAAATAATAATCATGATGATTATGAAGAAATCAGGATCAAGTAAGTCACGATACATTATGATAGATTTACTCAAGATCAGTGAGCAAAGACTGAAATTTTCCTGTAGAATATCTTCTGATTCACTCCGTTTCATATTTCACGTAGTTATTGGACTATCCCTGACACTTTGCATTTTAGTTTACGGCACTTATGGCCCGGCTTATTGGAAAATATGGTAGCTGGATGCTTAGCTTCGTTTTGCATTTAAATAACCCAATGACTCTTGGAAGGATGATAAATTTGTTTTCGTCGGTAAACGTTTTGCATGTAATTCATAAATCGCTTTCTATTATTTTAAGATTAAGATTTTCTGCTACGCTACACTATTCTAGTTTTTACACTGACATCATTAGTTTAATTTCTTTTTAAAATGAAAGAGTCAGTAATGTGTGTTTTTCCACCCTTGTGATATTTCTATCACACAGCTCGAATGTGGACTAGTGAACGAATTCGGTCTGCGATCGGGGAGGTTAAGCAACTACCCAATGGCCGTTCAATAAATGAAATTAAAATAAACTTTATTCAAGTTGATTTAACAACGGCTCTTTTAACAATCGTCCTTGAATGTTTTTCCTACCACCGGATAAGGACATCTTTTAGCTGACAAAAATAATTGCACTGCAGGCGAAAGAACCTTACGTTTAATTAGAAATATGTCGTAACTCATCTAACAGGGATGAAGACAGGTAGAATTATTGATCGAAGATGACAGGGTAAAGTAAACGACATTCTATGTCAGTCAGATAGATTATAAAAAAATAAAGGGCATGTATTTTACTTTGTCAATCAACCAAAAAATTACAAACATGAAGCGCATCTAAGTTACGGAGTCGTGACGTCACTTTTATGAAAACGTACAAGTGACGTAAAGCTCGTCCAATGCACGTTATAATATGCTGATATAATAATTCCATATCTGTTATCTACTAATACCTACTTATTTTTAATAATGCTTTATCTTTGTCTATTTTATAGTTAACCCTTATCAATATTCCAAATTCCTTTAATAAATCTATTTTGGAATGAAGTTAATTACTCAGTTAATTAATGTCGAATTTAATAAAATACTATCAGCGTTATTTTATTTATTCAGTGACTACATTATAGAACTTTTTATATATTACCTAAGTTTTTTTTATCAATTATACGTTATTGTATATGAATAACATAGGCTCCATGGCTGGCTGACTTTGTAATTCTAAAAGTCCCAATAGAACCTATAGTGGGGATAAATTCTCCAGAAAATCTGTCTGTGGGGCAAAAGTCCAGTTGTTTATTTTTTAAGAATTTGACTGGAACTTATTTCTGGATAAAAAGTATCCTATAATCAATCCGGTTAAAACATTCTCTGAGCGCCAAGTTTTGTTAAAATCTGAGAGCTTCCTTTTAAAATATGGCACCTTTAGAATTGAAGTGACCTAATCCAAAATTCTTGTTTTTGGTGAACGCTAAAAATGTGATTGAGTTGGTATTTTTTTTGTTTTCTATTATAATGCTATAAGTTATACGTTTATTATCATATTTTTTATTGTTAATGGTAGGATAGGCATTGTTTTCATGATTGTATACTAAACCATTCTGTGTAACTAATTAGAACCTTTGTTAATTAATCACAAAAAAAAATATGTCACTTAATTTCCGAAAAAAGTTTATTACAATTGGCTTATTTCACTTTGTGCATATTTTTTACTAAACAACATAAAACAAAAACGTAACTATTCAATAATGATATTAAATGAATCGCCTCTATCATTTCTAATGTTATATTTTTGATAGATGACCAATTTTGTAATATGCTACTTGAATATTTAATGATTTTCTAAATTAAAGGAAAATGAAATGAATAATGTCCACGCTACATTGAATGGGTTACTTCAATACTGAGGGAGATGCGGTATGCGTGTCATTTAAAAGAGACGGAAACAGTACGTTTGTCTTTTTCTGGCCTAAAAGAACCTGTTTATTATTAATAAACTGATAGAATATATGTTTTTATGTCGTTTCACGTTTAAAAGACATGTTGCTATTTTTTTTATTTAAGTCACTTCAATTCTAAAGTTGGGATATGTAATAGTGTAATTAATACACACTTTACAATCCATTTATTCATTAAACATCTTTTAAACAATAGCATCTTGATGTATGAAACAAATTGTTCACTGACTATTTGAAAGTATGAATTTGTTTTGTAAAGGTGAATGGTGAAAGTAGTCAGACCATTCGCTACAAACGCTACTTCATGCTTATTTTGGTCATACATATCCTTTCTATTATAAACGAGACGTTGCAAATGGCTCCTAATAATAGTTTATTCCATCACAATAATCTGCTAATTACTTACAGTTAAAACAATTATACTTCTGTGATTCGCCCGAGAGATTACATTTAATTCACTTGTAGTAGCACGCATTATGTGCTGCCATCGTACACGATGGCAGCACATAATGCGTGCGGGCACTCGGGCGTGCACTCGGGCGAATCACATCGTATAATATCAGTCGAACGTCACTTACAGGTAAGTTCGTTTGACTTTCAATTTTATGTACTTACTTGTCAACATTTAGACCGCAGTGTGATAAAACTATGATAATGTCGACTCCTTGTTTGTGTAAAATGTCAGCTTCTCTCTTAACAGCCTCTACAGGATCTGAGAATATAACGCCCTGGGAGTTGGATGACGTCTACAACAATACATAATATGATTATTTTGAATTATTTATTCGTAGTACGGCTGCAAATGATATCAATTTTTGGCTTACCGTTTATGAATACTTCTACAATGAAAAATGTATATAAAATACAAATTGATCTTATTAATTTCAACTTAAGTATTCATTTTCGATAAGCACCTAAACTAAAATCTTACAGATCATCTGCATTGATTAATCCATGATGAATTAAGTTTTAAAGAAAAATATAAATAATTGATACTTTGGTGAAATATAATAAACTAGCAAACCAGTGAACCAAATGTTCACCAAAACCTGATTTCTCGAAAACCGGAAGTGCTACGTTACTCAAATCCGGTTTGTAGTCTTATCAGACTATTCTTAACTTATAACTTAAATATTCTCTTTATCTGTCTCTTACGGTTTGGCCGCTGAAACAGCACCACGGACAGACGGACTCGTCTAATAGATAAGAGATTTAAAATAATGTTGCTTTTTTAACTATTAAATAAATAGCACAGAACCAGACCTTCTGATCCTCACATGATGCCTTTCATATATGTATTTAACTATTTCATAAACACTCACCGCTGTTTCGGGGGTTGTCACTCCGATTACTCCAATTTTTCTTCCTTTTCTCTCCAGTACCACGTGTGGCTTGTACAACCCATTCAAAGTCGGTTCTTTACTCGTGTCTATGTTAGCGACTACAACGGGAGCTTGGAGTGCCGCAAGGTATGGTGCTAAGCCCGCAATCCCATCATCAAACTCGTGGTTACCAATTGCCTAAAATATTTTTTGTAATTTTATTAACTAATTCAGTAAAATGCTTATAATTATATAATGTGCATTATATGCAAATGATGTATAATTAGTTATTGAGTGTCCATATTAACTAAAGTCGCAGACAATAAAAATAAACTACGGAATTTCAAAATAAAAGTACCTTAGTATAAAAAAACCATGGGTAAAACAAGTAAAACATTAAAAAGCTTTGACTAAATTTAAACCCGGTCTAAAAAATGATTCTGTCGCCTTTATTTGCTAAAAGAAGACAGAGCATTAGGTTTCAACCAAGGCTAACTTCAGACCACATTTTGGAATAAGGGAATCTGGGATTAGCCGATGTTAGCGTTAGGCAACGCACAATTGAGCCTGAGTGCTGGTTTCTTAAAAAATCATCAACATCATTAGTAATCCAGTTTGCAGCAGTTTTGTTTCCAAATGTAAAAGTTCTAAATTTACTTCCAATATATTTCGAGAATTGTCTAACGACCTCGAGCGAGACCTAACATTTTATACACATTCTAATCTTTCCTCGAGTTTTTGCTTAGAAATTAAAATAACTCTACTTTCAAGGTTGTTCTTATCTCAGTATTTAAAATAGCTTTGTGATCATTTGGAGTTAGTTATTCCTGGACCTAGCAAGAAATCGGTTGGAAGTATTTCCGTTTCTTATTTCATTAATTAAATAGGTCACAAAACCTTATTTATAATGTGTTCAGGGGTTAAAGAGAAGTCCAGCTGACAGAAAAAAAACAGTATTAAAGGGTACGAAAAATTAAGGATGTAATTTTAACGTACCCTTTGCATTGCTCATCTGGTCGCTTACTTATTTTGGTCAGCAGTATGAAATTTATTTCCCTACTTCCCTAAATTAAATTATGCTTTCCCACTTGGGGATTCCAATTTGGGGTATCGGAGTGTCCAATACAACAATCACGATAGAAACTTCGCGTCTGGACTCCACCGTCACTACACATCAGGTGGGGTAGTTTCATTATCTTGTCTAATGCCTTTTTTTGTGACGCAGGCAAAACCTCAGTTTACAGACGACGGCGCTATTAGGAGGCACACGCCGAACGGACCTCACACCTGACTCCCGCAAGATTCACGGGCATTGGCTGCCCACTGAGGATCCCGTAACTCTTACGGGCGCTTTACGGCATAATATGCGCTAAAATACCCTGCGAATACCCTCTAAGCTGCTTAGTGCGAAGCCGCGGGATCCCCGTTTAGTGATTCTTCCGCGTTCCCGCACCTAGCAGCCTCCCGGCCTAGCCGGGGCTCCACGGCAGGGGTCTCCCGGGGTATCGCGGGGACTGAGTACGCGGCCTAGTGCCTACCGTACCGCCCCCCGATCTTGTCTGATGCCTGGACCAAGTGAAAATGTTTCTACTAAAATTGTATTTTATTCGGACCTAAGCACCAATGACCGACAAGATCCAATTACGACACTTGTTTCCGTGATCAATGAAAACAAAGTAGGAAACCGATCACTAAATATGCTCAGTGTTACCTCGTATATAAAAAAACTTACATGTGCATCATTGGGTAGCATGTTGATGAACTTCTGGATGATGTTCCACTTCAGCAGCGTGTACCAGTACGTGCCCTGAAAGGCGTCTCCGGCGTTCAGAACGAGGGCATCAGGTTTCTCCTCGAGCAGCATTTGCACACCGGAGTACAAGCGAGCAAAGCCGCCCATACAACTGGAGTCATTGGATTTGCACACTGGGTATGGCACAGATGTCTCCTCGAATCTAGAATAGAACATGTTAGACTTGTCTTATTAGGTTTTCGACATATGGAGCTACGCTTCGTTGTAAAATATCAGCCGCGGCGATCATGTCTACTGTTAGAAGATTATTTTTGGAATTTAGTAAGATTTTTGTTCACCTAGAGCTTCTCTATCAGGGCCTTGGTAGCTAATATACATATATTAGCTACTACTACTACTACTGAACAATTACATCAGATAAGACATTTTATCTGATGTTATTGTTCACAGCTTACCTATTATGTACGCAGAACAGGGCTTATGTATGCATTCTCCCTCCCCCCACAAAAAAATCCAGAACGATTTGAATTACAAGATAACCATTGGCGACTTCCCTGCGGGTCGCATCCGTATTGTTCATTGATCGTATCCTACTCTACATTATTCAAAGCTATGCAAAATCAAATCAGAAATGAGGAAATCCGTAGAAGAATAAGAATAACCGACAAAGCTCAACGAATCGCAAAGCTGAAGTAGCAATGGGCGGGGAACATAGTTCAGTGGAGCGATGGATGTTGGGGTTCCAAGGTTCAATGGCAAACCTCGCACTGGGAACTGCAATGTCGGTAGACCCTCACTAGGTGGACTGACGATATCAAACGAATCGAGGGGACCTACTGCATGCGGAAAGCGCAGAATCGATGTGTATGAAAACCCTTTCAAAAGGCATGTGTTTGAAGTGGACGTCCATCGAGTGATGATGAAAATGATGCAAAATAGAGAAGAATAGACGTTGATGACGATATTATATCGAAAATCAACTTTAAAATTAGGAGTAACGCAGGAGTGCCCGACTTCCGGAAATATACTCAAATAACATAGTTTCTAGTGTTATGTTATGATATTGCTGAAAATATACTTTACTAGCTGAAGCCCAGCGTGTAGCTACCATGGGTTACGTAAGTATGCTTCTTTACTGAGAACGCCACACTTTTACTTTATCTAAAATTAGTGGCCCGCCCTCGCTTTGCTTCGGTGTAGAGCTATAGTGTAGACTATAGTTTTTGTTCAAAGGCTTGTATTATATATACACTATGACCTTCTTCATAATAATTATAAACCTTCCATTCCAAGTAAAAAATTCGTTGCATAGTTTAGGACCCGTTGTACCGAATGTACCGAATGCAACATTGCTCTGCTGTTCCGATTTATAATTTATTTTTATTGGATAATGCATTTATCGAGGAAAGCTATAGGTATATTACCAAGCTTTGACCAGTAGCAGCGGAGCATCGATGAAAAATGTTGCAAAAACGGGTATAAATATGTGATATAATCCATTTGTGATTCCGTTGCGTTTGCTGGGTAAACGGTTAAAGTTACACAAAAATCATGTATGATGGAAATCTTTCCCTTTAAAGTCTATATTTTAAATTTGACTCACTATAAAACCTTTTTCTTCAAATTAACGCGGGTTAAACCGCAGGGGACCTCTAGTTGAGACATAACTCTAATAGTTAGACATATGGTATCTATTTTTTGAAAATATTGGTATCCTCTATAAAACTTTAGTACATTGCTTTGCTCTATTGTCAATGACTTCCGCAGCGTATGCGATATAAGTCAATTTTGGTATTTTTTACACACGTTGGGTTACATTATGGAAGTTTTCATTCGGAACCCCAACTTTTTTGAAAATACACTATAGCCTATATTAATCAGTGATAATGTAGCATTCAAATGGTATAAGAATTTTTAAAATCGGTCCATTATTTTTAGAGCCAATTCGTTACAAACATACTTACATACAAACCTTTCCTCTTTATAATATTCGTATAGATAGTATATGAGTTTTAAGTCAAAAATCGACTTTTCATAAGTGGTCCGAATATAACAAATATATTGTTTTAACCGCACATCACATCGAGTCGTCAGAAAGTACGTTTCGTTTAACTAAGCAAGATAAAATTGCAAGAACTTCAATTATGAAGCAGTACAAAAGTTCAAATCGGTCGGCGCGGGTAAGTATGATGATCGGCGGAGATTTCTGATACACCAGAAGGTATAAAATTTGATTATTATTAATTGCGTATTAAGTTCATTTAGTTCATATTATTTAAGAGGTTATAGAGGTTAACAATTAATCTATTCAGATTATATAACGTGTACATTCGTTTACGAATAAGTATAATAATTATAACCTTAAAATCTAATACATTCTGTAGTAGACCACGGTTCTTCAAGTTATCCGTATTTCAAGAAATGCATGATGAGAGTTTATGAATGATTCCGAAAACAACTAGCATTTTCTCATTGCTGTGCGTTCTGGGGCATTTAATGAGTATGGGGAAAGAACAATGTCCTTTACGCATTCTTATACAACTCTCATACACAACACAAATCGGCACCATACCTAGAGTAAGCTCAGAGCAGTTCTGAACGAGCAAACATCCGCTCGCTCGGTAAATGGAAACATAAGTACCCCTAGAACGAACCAATGTCGAAATCCAATAGTTTACGACACCGAAATGTCATTGTCAAATTTTGTATGGAGACTTGTAAAACAGCTCCACAACGGACGTAACGAGAACTAAAAATCAGTAAACATATGACAGTGACATTTCGCACTCGCAAACTATTAGAATTCGATATTGGTTCGTGTTAAGGTTACATTACCTCTAGCACGAACCAATATCGAATTCGAATAGTTTGCGAATCCGAATGTAATTGTCAAATTTTGTATGGAAACTTGAACAGCAGCGCCATAACGGTTGTAACGAGAACTAAAACACATTTGACAATGACATTTCGGACTCGCAAACTATTCAAATTCAATATTGGTTCGTGCTAAGGGTCCTGAGCAGGCGAACGAGTTCGTACCGATGTTTGACTCAAGGAATGAATGCTCTCTTACTCAGTCATCAATGAAAACAAGCGCAACATTTTTGAACATTCCATTTTGTTCCGAGCCAGGAAAACGGAATGTTCACACCCTATGTGGGAACCCACCATTATACCAATTCTATCAGATTAGATAATTCATTGCTCATTATGTTCATTCGATGATTCATAAAATATTATGTCATTTTAAGATTTGAAAAATGAAACATACATTATTATGAACAAATATACTTATGTAACATGTAATTCATATGTTATTTATTTATTTTTGAATGCCAGGTTTTTGCACACATTAACTGACCATCAGGTGTGATGAATTATTTTTTAAAGCCTTCTTTCAAAATTAGTTTCGTTAGGTATTGTATTTATATTAATGAGTATAACAGAGCTACAACAGTCACACTTAATTAATTATTGTAGTTATTAGCATTTCTTATCTTGTCCTCAATACCCGAGCTGCTTTAATTCCAGTTTAGAATGTAGGAGTTAATTTATTGGACATTGTAAAACAAAGAAATGTACTTTGTTTTGCAACTAATTTTGTGATAAAGTCTTGATTGAAAATTGTAACAATCACATAATGACCTTTTAAGTACTCTTGTTTAAATATTTTATAGTTTATAGTAGTTTTTCCGTCAAAATACGAATGCCAAGTACAAAAAATATATAAATTTTAGGAGTGATAATTTTCGGTGCACCATTAACTCGGAATATAATCAAAAAACCAGCTTTTCTTGTCGGATTACAAAAAAAATAATATGACGATAGAATTCTTTCAAAAATTGTGACATTGTGACGATAGGCTAATAAATGAAATCAAAAATTCTTATGCATTGATCACGTACTGAATAAACGGGCGAGACAGTGCTCTCGGCCGAGTACTCGGTACGTACAAACAGTATTGTTGATCATAGCTCAGATCTAACCAAGTGCTCAGCCAAGCGCTCTTACATGACTTTTTAACTTCCATCATTTTACTGTCTCGCCCGTTTATTCGGTACGTGATCAAGGCATAAGACATTTTGATTTAAATTGATGTTGTGTGGAAACTATGGTGATAGGTTGCTAGCCTATCGCCACAATGGCACACTTTTTGAAAGTATTCTTTCGGCATAATTAAGCTTTTGCAATCTGAGAAGAAAAGCTGGTTTTTGGATTATATTCAAAGTTAATGGTACCCCGGAAATTATCACACCCAAAATTTATAATGTTTTTGTACTTGGATCAAGGCATTAGTCGCATGGTTAGCTATACACGTTTCGAAAAAGTTGTTTTTTTTTTAACGATAGGTCCGACAAATGACTCCACCCCACCTGATGTTAAGTAAAGGTGAAGTCCAGACACGAAGATTGCTGGTACAGCAATTCTACCTGACATACCAGCTATTCTCAACCTGCCGGCCTGCATGTTGTTCGTCACGCCTCTTTTAAAGGATCAAAGTAAGTTAGTATAGAATATAGAAAGAGGCCTAAACAATGTTGCGTCATTTGAGTGTGGATAACAACATGTTTAATATGTGAATTTGGACAAGGACACTTAAAATTCTCATTGTTGAATTTTTTTTTCCAGCTATTCTCATTATCATAGTCATAGTCGTTCAGAGCTAGAGTCCATTATTTCCACACACCATTCATCTCTAAACACGAAACAATTGACATAGTATACGAGCGGGTATATAATAGTTCTAACGAAATTCTGAAAATTTTCTCCTACAAATTTCAACAAATATCTAAGAAATTACGTTCTTATATTATATTTGTTAAAAAAGGCTTAATGGTAATCAATAAACAAGGAAAAACACTGGCCTGCAAAACTAAATATCACACTTTTAAAATTATAATAACATTTTAAGTGCACAAGTTAGACTGCTATAAAATGTTTTTGAACTTTAAATCTCTAAATTCTATAGTTTAGAAAAAAAATATATTAAAATGTGATACTTATTTTTGCAGGCCAGTGTATTAAAACCTACAATACTGTCGGTAAAAGAGTTTCACTTATAATTTTCGTATTTCATTTATTATTAAAAAAACAATGTACAGAAAATCACAAAGTGCTTTTGGTAGTTATTTACGCACGCTCTCTCTCTCTCTTTCTGAACATCCGTAAATCAAAATAAAAAAAAAAATGTGTGTGTCAGCT